CGAGCAAGGCCGTACCTTGGACTTTAACTTTGTCGAACTCCTTTCTTTTCCTTTACCACATGGGCTGGGTGGCTCTTTCAGTAAAACTATTGTATGTAAATATTAGAAAATCAAATCAAACTGAATGCCTGTGTATTCACAGTTTTCTTAAATCGAATTCGCCGCCTCACCGGAGTGCAAGAGGTTTTGATCGGTGTTTGATTCCCAGGATACAATCGATTGTTGGTTCACGTTGCACTACGTTAACCGCCTGCGAACTAGCTGTGATATACTTTCTCACAAAGAAATTATAAGCATAAGGAAGAATATGAAAGTGAGAAAAAGAAGATTGTTGCTTAGAGGAAGAAGCTTAAATTTCACTTGTGATTTTCCAACCTAGAGAGACTCCTATTTATACCAATGGAAGAAAAACTAACTCATTAATCAAGGAGTTAAATCTTTCATTGATAAATGAGTTAAAAATATGAAGGGATTTGAGTTACTTGAGTTACAACATATGAAGAGACTTCTATTCAATATTTTTCATTCAATTCTAACAATCCCTCACATAAATGAAAAATAAAAACTAAGACTCAAGAGAAAAGAGAGAGTAAAACGAATCAATCCTGCATAGGATAAGTAGCATTTAGCTTTGAACCTTCCCTTGTGAAACCTATTGGGAATTACTAGCAAACCAGTGGATCTGATGTCTTGAACTATTTCACCATTTGTGTAAATCAAAACAATAGATCTCACACAGGACCACTATAGTCACAACATAGTTCTTACTGTCGTATTCGTTTTGGCCGTGAACACGTCGCCTAGTTCTGCAAGTGTTTTTTCAAGGATGTAGCCTTACCAATCCTTATAGAAGCGACCCCACTTCACACTCACATAGGTGACCTCTTAACTCAGTGTTTCACAACAACGCTTAATGGTCATTAAAAGTATAGCTTAACCTACAACTTCCAATCACTGTGAGCACCATAGGAATGAGCAGAAGGAGAACATTCTCAGTGATTTACACAGATATAAATGTTTTAGTTGTCCCTTTGAACCTAGATCCTGGGATCTCCATTCAGCTAGGTTGGGTTTCCACCATGATACCTTTCGACGTCATGGCTGCAAGCCCATTCCCCTCGATGCTTTTACAACTAGCTCTCGAGTTAGCTCTTTGGTTAGCGGATCCGCAATATTATCCTTTGACTTCACGTATTCCAGAGTGATAATACCTTGTGAGAGTAGTTGTCGAATGGTATTGTGTCGTCTTCGAATGTGGCGAGACTTATCATTATACATATTGCTCTGTGCCCTGCCAATTGTTGATAGATTATCGTAATAAATACAAATTGTAGGCACAGGCGTTGACCATCTTGGAATATCCTCAACAAACTAGCGAAACCACTCTGCTTCTTCAGTTGCTTTGTCCAAAGCGATGAACTTTGATTCCATTGTAGATCTTGCGATGCAAGTTTGTTTGGACGATTTCCAAGAGACAGCTGCACCACCAAGAGTGAAGACATATCCAATTTGCATCAGCATACCCTTCGATTATTGTAGGGTATCTAGAATAGTGCAGTCCAAAATCACGAGTGTGCCTTAAATAATGTAGCACCCTAAAAATGGCTTTCCAGTGGACTGCACCTGGGTTACTCGTGTAGCGACTCAATCTGCTAACTGAGTATGCTATATCCAGTCTAGTGCAAGTATTTATATGAATGGGTCCGATTTGTCCAAAGTTCATACGAAGTCTTATCCATATTCTTTCTTAACACCTTATTCAAGATGTAATTTGCAGAAAGAATAGCTTCTCCCCACATGTTCTGTGGTAATCCAGAACTAATCAATATAGCATTCATCATTTCCTTTAAAGTTTTATTCTTATGCTTAACAATTCTGTTCTGCTAAGGTGAATAAGGTGCAGTAGTTTGGTGAATTATTCCATGTTTAGCACAAAATTCACCAAACGGTGATTCATATTCACCACCACGATCACTTCGTAGCACCTTTATTTTCTTACTAAGTTGATTTTCAATTTCATTCTTATAAAAAATGAATTTATCGATAGTTTCGTCTTTGCTTTTAAGCAAGTACACATAACAATATCTCGTGTTATCGTCGACAAAAGTAATAAAATACTTATTACCGTCTCGTGTTTGGACAGATTTCAAGTCACATACATCACTATGGACTAGTCCCAATGGCTCGATACTTCTTTCAATACTGTGAAACGAAGACCTAGTAAGTTTAGATTCAATAAATGTTTCACATTTATGATTTGAATCAATCTAGCCAAGTAATTTAGTTTGCTTAGTCTACGTAAAGCATTATAATTTATATGACCTAATCTATCATGCCACAGATTAGGAGACTCAAACAAGTAAACAGAATGAGTTTTCTCATTACTCATAACAGTTGGGGTTACATTCAATTTAAACAGGCCATCAGTCATATAGCATTTCCCAGCATAAACTCCTATTTTGGTAATCACCAGCTTATTCGCCTCAAAGATCATGCGGAACCCATTCTTGCTTAGAAGAGACCCAAAGACCAGATTCTTATGAATCTTTCGCATGTACAGTACATTAGTCAGAGTAAGCTCTTTGCCAGATGTCATCTTCAGGATCACCTTGCCTTTACCAAGCACTTCAAAAGTTGCAGAGTTTCCCATGAACAACTTTTCACCATTTGTAACTGGTGCAAAAGTAGTGAACATGCTCGTGTTAGAGCAGACATGGCAAGTGGCCCCAATGTCCAGCCACCACTCCTTTGGGTTATACCCCACCAGGTTAACCTTATTAATCACCGTCGTGAGGTTTAGCTCAGACATTTCATCTGAGAGATAATCTCTCTCATTTCCAACCATATTAGCCTGAGGACGTTGCTTATTATCCCTCCGAGGCTGACAACAGTCTGCTGATCGATTCCCAACTTTGCCACGATTGAAGTACTTTCCATTGAACTGGAACTTAGGTTTCTTTCCTACCCCACCTGCAGACTTCAACTGAGACCCTTTTGTAGCCTGTTTTTTTATCTTTTCGATTTTTGTTACCCTATTTGGTTTTAAAGGAGTGAACTTTCTTAGTACCAGAACTTTGGCCGTACTCCAATACATTAGCCTTCTCAGAGTAGGAATTCTCTGACTTACGTTCAGCCCGTTTGTTATCCTCCTCAATGCGCAGCTTGATAATTAAATCCTCGAAAGACATCTCTTTCCTCTTATGCTGCAAATAACTTTTGAAAGCCTTCCACTGAGGAGGTAGCTTGTGAATAGCAGTAGCCACCTGTAGAGATTCTGACATGGTCAGACCCTCAGCATGCATTTCTTGCAAAAGCACTTGATACTCCTGCACTTGGCTCACCACTGAACGTGAGTCAACCATTTCGAAGTCCATACATCCACTGGCTAAGAATTTTTTAGATCCGGCATCCTCGTCTTGTATTTCTTTTCTAAGGACTCCCAGAGCTCCTTAGCAGACTTCTTTACCACATATACGTGATACAGAGAATTCTGTAGGCCATCCAAGACATAGTTGCGGCACAAAAAATCAGTACTTTTCCAAGCGTCCCAAGCTGCCGCCTATGCACATCAGTGTCATTTTCAGCCATGATAAGTGCATCCTCAGTGAGGAAACGTGCAAGGCCCAACGTAGTGAGATAGAAAACCATCTTATTCTGCCATGTCTTAAAATCAGTACCAGCAAACTTATCCGGTCGAATTGCATGATTAACTGGAAATGGAGTCGAAAACGATGGCAAAGGTGCCGAAGCCGTAGCCCTAGGCACTGGCAGAGGTATTGTGCCAAACTAGATTGTCGAGGCCGAAGCCGAAGGCAAAGTTGGGTTCACTCCAACATGAGGAATCCGCCTCCAATTATCCCGTTAATGGGAGAAATGTCAGTCGTGGTCTCCATAGGGTTACCAACGGTCATTGCAAGATTTGGTACACCGGTACCAACAGTGTTGCTTTCGTTGTTCACATCGCTATTTTCATGTGACGCCATTGAACTGGAACAAGCAACAAATAATTTAGAATAATTATAAGTTTGTAAAGTTGTATATAAATTCGAGATCAAGTTATCTGTTCAGAAAATAAAACTGCAGAGTTGAAGAATAGATTATTTTGTCAAATTATTAACAACTTAAGAATCATTTAAAATGAATTAGAAAGCATGCAAAAATCATGAACTGAAAAAATTGACAAAAACTAATGAACAAAATTTTTGACAAAAACTAATGAACAAAATTTTATTTAAAAAAGAATTCGATTTAAGTTTGTAGGTAAATATTAGAAAATCAAATCAAACCGAAGGCCTGTGTATTCACAATTTCCTTAAATCGAATTTGCCACCTCACCGGAGTGCAAAAGGTTTTGATTAGTGTTCGATTCCCAAGATACAATCGATTGTCGGTTCATGCTGTATTACGTTAACCGCCTGTGAACTAGCTGTGATATACTCTATTTCACAAAGAAATTATAAGCCTGCGAACAAGCTGTGATATACTCTATTTCACAAAGAAATTATAAGTATAAGGAAGAACTTGAAAATGAGAAAAAAAAGATTGTTGTTTAGAGGAAGAAGCTTGCATTTCACTTGTGATTTTTCAACCTAGAGAGACTCCTATTTATACCAATGGAGGAAAAGCTAGCTCATTAATCAAGGAGTTAGAGCCTGTTTGGGAGTGATTTTGAGAATTGATTTTTTGACCGTTAGGAGAAAAGTGGGGTCCATCTGTGAGAGAAGAAGTCAAATATGACGGCTGGAATAGTAAAATAACGATCAAAAAATCAATTTTTTGGGTGAAAAAATCGGGCCCAAACAGCCCCTTAAACCATTCATTGATAAAGGAGTTAAAAACATGAAGGAACTTGAGTTAGAGTTACAACATATGAAGAGACTTCTATTCAATATTTTTCATTATTTCTATTCAATATTTTTTATTCAATTCTAACAACTACCACTTGTTGAGTCCTCTAAAAAATAATAATAATAAAATAAATTAAAATTAAAAAAGACTCGTGAACAAAACTTTTAAAATTATCCATGATCTTATGCAGCAGAGGAATATTCATTACATTCATTACAGTATTTTTCTCATAAAATTTCTTGAATATACACATTCACATTCACATTCACATTCACATTCATAATTATTGGATAGACCCCTTCGCAGATTATCATGCTTATCAATGGACCTGGATTTATCATGTCTGCACGGCCTCAAATCCATGAAACTTTGGCACTTTCAGAAAAAAACCAACTTATAATCGGATTGACTTCATCAAGATTAATTCAAGATGATTCAAAAATAAGTCATTGCATCTTGCTTTTTCAAATCCTTATAGAACTTCATAATGAACTTCTCAGCAGCTTCATCTACATGATTATCCTCTTCAGTATCCTTTAATGGAAATGGAGAGTCTGTGATCCTCAGTTGCCTTACGACAGGGCTCTTCCCGAACCCTGGCAATGCCGGTGAAGCCGCCTCGCTATACAGCATCTCCAAGGCCTTCACCACCGTATTTGCAGTCGCAAAATCGTCGGCCGTGGGTGGCGCGCGGTGGTGGCTGCCGTGTTTAAGCTTGTTGAGATTAAAGGGGATGTGAAAATTAGGATAAGCCGGGCTGTTACTGCAACTGAACTCATATTCGGTGACTGAGATAGGGAATGACAGATTGCGGCTGTGGGGGCGGCGGCCGGAGGCGGACCATGGATGGAGCATGAGATTTTGGATTGCCTTGCCGGCAATTTTGCCACGTTTCATCATCATGTTAAGATCAGCTAATAATTTTCCCTTCGATATGCCTTTTCTTAACATGAAAAACATCACACGTACTATATTCCATACTTTCTTGGCTATGATTGGTAGATTTTGCTCCATTTTTTGGATAGATTTTGGTGTTTTTAGAGAGAGAAAATGCTGTGTATTGATTATTGGGGGGAGAGAGGGAGAGAGAGAGAGAGAGAGAGGTAGGTTTGGGAGAAAATATATTGAAAAAGAAGATTATTTTGAATATCGATATAGGAGAGGCATGTGAGAGTGGTACATAAAGGCCTCCAAAGAGGAGATAGGACGCTCCAAAATTGCACGTTGATCAACTTTGAACTAAAATGACCTTGAGGTGCACGGAATCTTGAAACTTTGTTTAATTATTAGGAAAATCAAGGTATTAGTCCCAAAATTGAACCATATCTTGACATGTTTTAACATAAACGAAGATAAAACAAGATACACTTTCAATTCAAGGAGCAATAGAAATTTGCATATTGGAAATAGGGAGTATGTATATATATATATATATATATATATATATATTAAGAAACTACACTTCATGCTCCCTAATTATACTCTTCCTAACATACTTCGAAGGTTGAGTTTTTCTAACTCATCGTCAGATTCTGGTTGACAATTTGAAAGAGATTTTGTAAATCTACTGAACCCTAAATTCAATAAGTCATATATAGCTTGATCATGTTCTCCATTAATCCAAAAGCATCCTCAATATATTCCCTCATACTCGAATAGAAAGCTGGTGCCTCTGTTCTGATCTCGCTCACAAAGGCTGCGTTAAGTGGGGATGGTGGAATAACCTCTCTTTTATCACAATTTTTTTCATATTCAATCTCATATTGCTTATATCACATTCAATTAATTGTTTGATGAGATTTTAGTGAATTGTCTTCGTAGTATAGATCCTAGAATTAGCCTACTCCTATAATGTCATAAAACCACATTCACATGAAGCTTAATTGATCCAAGAATTGAAACATCTTATTCTTTCCTCGACTCCTATTGATTTGGTCGATCAAGCTAGCTTCTGATTTATGTACTTGTTGATCGTTTGACCTTTCAATTCATCCACCAATAATACTTTTGAACTTGTCTTATTTTGCTACTCTTAGAGAAAAATCAATAACCCTGCTCTACGTGGTTCTCGTCCCAATTCAAACTGCCCTCCTTTTTATTGCCTATGTCCTGAATATTTCCTGCCGATTGGACCACCATGGTGCACGTTTCTTGAATTATCAAAAATCTCCCTCTCGGACCCTTCATTTTCTTTGTTTTGCGAGTCTGCCCCGCAAGAGCTTCTAAGAATTTATCTAAATTATAAATCATTTTTAACTAAATTAAATCCAATGAATAGGCAATAGGAAAGAAAAGAAAACAGAAGCTGTGTGTGACATATGATGATAAATGCATATTATAGGACTGTCTCCAAATACTATAGCATGCTACTGAGGACCAAGGTATTTATAATTAGTTGAAATTATAAATAGATAAAACGAGCAGTGAATAAATACGTAATACTTGTGGGTTCCAACAAATATGTGAACAAAAAGAGGTGTGACCGATTATTATAAATAGGTGCCAAACATGCGGTAAGTGTAAAATTAAGAAGAGAAACACATCCCTAAAACCCAGAACTAGTAGCTTAACTAAATGGCTGTAAAGAAAAATGAAAAAGAAAATGAAAAATTAAATTCAAGACAAACCAACTTAATCAATATAAAGTTTACAGTCAATAGATTATAATTGATCAAAATAATTAATTTTCAATTCTAAGATCATCCACATCTCTGGTTATGGCAGGAATGCAGCTTGAGCTCCTAAGAATTCCACCCTTCTTTGTTGCAGCACCATTATCTCTAGCACCCATGGATTTGCTTCTAACTTGTCTCTTCTTCAAGATTTCTCTCATGGCTTCAGCTTGACAAAGAATCGGATAAGCCCTTCCAAATTTGTTAAACCTAACACATGCATGCATATGGGAATTCAATGCCTCCTCCCCATTCCCACCATTTTTCTCAGTCTCTTCTTGTACTGCTTCGGCACAGAGCCCACAAATCCACTTCCCAGAGAACTTACCACGCACTTGGCCTACATACTCGGGCGTGCATTCTTCGCTCATGCCACAGCATTCGCATTTGGCATCTTCAATTTCTGAAATTGTTGGAAGTTTTTCCAAGTCTGCAGCATTAGCAGCCTCTTTGCTTAGCACGAAAGATATGTCGGATATTGTTCTTTGCAGGTTATTGTTCTTCGAGGGCTTGCACGAGTTTCGGGTTTTAGAAGAGTTCCTAACAATGGCCTTTCCATGTGGTGCCATGACGATGAATTTAAACTTCAAGAGTCAAGAAACCCTATGGATGATAATATATTTAAGGCCTAAGAAACCCTTATGAGAATTTTGAAGTCTATGATTTAAAAGTCATATAGAAATAATCAGCTTATGGAAAATAATTGAAATTTTTTGTTGGATGAATCTGTGATCATATGAGTGGACCTATTTATAGATGTTTGCCTTACAACTTGAGAACACTAAAAAAGAACATCTAGTGGACCATGGAAACTCCCAAGTCACTGTACAATTTTCACTTGTACAGTCTTGAATGTGCTAGATTTTTCTTCAGAATTTGTGGCTTAAAACAAGAGTATTAATTGGATGCATATCTTTTATCGAGTAACACTTGGTGAGTTGACAATAGCTTCACAAAGAAAGTACCATAACAACGGGAAAATCTTCACTATTAAGAACAATATGCTCAAGAAAAGAATTTGTGTTCATCAACATCAGAAAAACGAATGTCTATGAGTATTTGGTTGTCCATAATTTTTCTTGGTCGAACATTGATTGCTATCTTGTTTTATATTAATGGCACGACGTAGGGGCAGACCATAGTATTAAAAAAAAATTAGCTCACCCTAAAATGCAATGATAATTTCGCCCCTAGCACGACGTATAAAATTACTGTTGATTTGGAATAATTTATCATATCATGTAATACTCGAGTGATGTAAAAGAGATTGAAGAGTTGCAAATAAAGATATCTGCGATTGAGTAATTTGAAAAGGATGAAATAGTTGACATTGTTAAGGGTAAAAACCCATAAACTAAAATATGAAAACAAAAATCATGCTACACTTACAAATTTTTTTTACAAAATCTCACTACTCACAATATATATTTATTTGTTTGTACATGTATATTTATCCTGAAAACAAAGTGCTTTGACTATTACTCCTAACAAAGTTGACTTTTTAAAGTAAAACATCAAGATTTAATTCAGCCCAATTCCAAAAAGTTCGGATGAATAACTCGATCCCTCCAAAGCGTAAGCGAGTAGGAAATTAAAAATTGTTGTTCTCAAACGGGCACAATCTTGTAGAGAATCAATACACAAAGATATGAGTAGTACTCCTCCACTCCTGATAACAATTTCTTGCAGTAGAAATTAGCTTTGTTCATTAGGAATTGTAGCACAAGTTGCTTGATTTCACATGACTGCTTATTTTTAACCACATAATAAGGTTAACTTTTGTTGGCTGAAAGATAGGAACATTGATTTTGAGTCACAAGCTTCTTGAAATAAAGAAAAAAAGTGGTTTCATGGATGTCTCAGTGAATGGCTACTGAAGGGCACAACAGTAGCTTTTTATGCTTGCAATTGGTTATAAATTCTACCTTATGGGGCTTATGATTAATTGTGCCATCAATTCTCACATGACTGATAGTGACTCAACAATTTTTTTTGCTCGAAAATTTTAAATACAAAATTAGGGTTCGTACTTCAAACTTGCGTGTGGTATGATTCCCCATCTTCAAAGTGATGTTATGGATTCACGGCCTACTTAAATATGTGAATTTGAATATCTACGCAATCAAAATCACAATATATACGTTAAAATCACACGACTTTTAGTTAAATTTGAAAAAAAAAAAATGTTCAGCAAATCGCTTAGCCCCGTTCATCTTCAGTGCAAGAGTGCTGAATCAGCGAGCTATTGCACACTCTTTTCAAGGGTAGCTGCTTCAGTTCCAACTCTGTATCAAGGTCACGATCGATATCGTCACTATCATCAATAAGAAAACCTTTAGGCTTGGGATTATCCTGCACTTGGAAGCAAAAGTAGAAAAATGAATAAATATAGTGATAATTTAATTCTTCGTCCTCGTAGTAAATACGCAAGAACATGGAATTTCTTTCAAGCAGTTGAATTTTTGCCCTTCAACTTCCAGTCACACGTACATTGACAATTTTGGCCAACTAAAAATCAAATCCATAGATTTAAATTTGTTGGTATTGAGAACCTCACGTTTAAAGGTTGAGGACTCATAACTCATGGGAGCAGGGAGTGTATATATATATATATGAAGAAGAATTTGTTGCACAAAACAAACTTTAATGATGTCTATAATTTTTAAAATAAGAGGAAGCAGCTATGTAATGCTAGGGTGCTAGCGCTACATATCCATATGTCGATTTATATTTTTATTTAGAGAACGTGTGATTAAAAATGAGTTTTAAAGAACTACGCCTAAAAGGGGCTAAACAAACAAAGATTTAGCAGGTACCATAAGATTAAACAAGAATAACAGCATATAGAGAAGCATATAATATAGCCAACAGAGTGTGATTACTGAGGATCCAAACTAAGCAAGAGTTTTTAACGTTCTATGCCAAGAAAAGCAGAGTACGACGAAATAGCAGATCCTTTTATGAGTACTTTGTTGTTCTGGTTTCACAACCATAACTTTACACGAATGACCAGTTTACGAACATAAAGCAGATGCAATGGGCATTGTCGTCTTCATTCAGAACTTTCCAAGCTATTGCGCGTTCATAAGAAACGGGCCTCCCCATGCTCGACAGACAGATACCACTCTGAAGACATGCAAAACCCTGTCAACAGAAAGTGCCAAGACGACAAATTAGCTCCTATCCTTCGCCAAAAGTATATGACAAACAGACCAGACAGTTCCAATGTGATATCTCGATTGTGGATTCAGGCCAATCTCAAACCCGAGAGCAATAATGAATGAACAAAAGAAGAGAGATATTTATAATGGTTCATTCAATGTGAGAGCTACATCCACTTTCCACTGCAAATTCATTGAATCAAGTAGATATCTACCGTAGAGATCTCACATCTCTCTCATGTGCACAAATAAACGGCACCTTTAATTTTCTTAGTGAAGTAAGAAGCTAGGGCGACCTAATACAAAGCGACAAATAATACAATATACTCTTACAATAGAAAACAAAAAATAAATAAATAAATTGCACAGGGCTCACAACCCACTGTAGATCTGCTGTAGGGTTTAAGTGAGCAATATAATTACGCTCCACAGTCCAGAATTCTCTGGGACCACTTACCCTGAGATATCGTGAAATAACACGAAAGTAGCGTACTGATTGAGGGAATGATACAAGCACACACTAGGCAGTTTAGTCATTTTACACGTGTATCGGTTCATTGAATTTTAAGTTTTTTTGGTCAGATGACAAACATGGACAGAAGTTCATTGGTTTCAATTGCTAAAAAGTCTGAATAGCATATTCTACCACTTCCTGCAAAATCACCCATTTCACTTATATTTGGCTATATTTGTCAAATTGAAAAAAATGACCGACCTGCTGCATTATTTGTGGGAACTCAGAACAGAGATTTTTCCTTCCATGATCATCAAATATCTTTTCCAGAGATATGTCTTGAAGCGCAACTAAGGTTGTCTCAAGCATGTCGAGACCAGCCTGGTTTGCAAATGTGAAAACCGACATTGCCTGCATAATTTTTGTAGTCAGATAAAATGGAAAACTATGAAGCTATGCTACCCACTAGCATCTATTAGAATATCTGCCAATGGGGGGAGGATGGTACTAGTCACTATTAAGAAAGAATAAGAAGCTAAAATTAGATTCATGGTATAGTCCAATCCTATTGAGTTCTACATACCCAATCGTGCAAGTTCAAGGGAACAAAGTAGCTGAGTTGCTCGCTAATAATGGGTACAAATTGATAAATTAGGAGTGGCAATCACAAATATTTCAAGCTTCTGACAATTATTTTGCTTACATGAGTATTGGAGGGAAAAGAAAGGAAGAAAACCTGGAATCAGAAGGTTACCTTAATGGAGCAGCATATAATAGCATCAGAATGATTCCACAGAGCTTTAAGGATTGATTCACTCCCTTCACCAGCAGACTTGAGAAGATCAACACCCATATAGCTCCTATTAAGGAGGGTGAAGAAACTAAATCAATTAAAATACCACGAAATTTAGAAAAGCATTCCCTTAGAAGGTGTTTGGTGGGAATCAAAATTAGATTTTTTAGTACATTGTGATAGAAGTTTCTGAAATGTGTAGTTGAAAAGTTGTAGGACAGATGAAAGATGTGGTTAATATTGATTGTTTGACTTTGACTTGGATTAAGGATTAAAATAAGATTTTAATCCAAACCAAACAGGTTAATGTTTGTCTAGGTCAGTTGCATTCTCAGTACAAATTTTGGCCTTAAAAGCCGCCCAGAACATCTTCAGTGTGAAATCATATATAGCAAAATCAAACAAACAAACAAGAATGATGTTATATAAGAGGTACCTGTAACTTTGGCAGATCCAACGAGAAAGAGTATGTGCTTCAGGAGTTCCAAGCGGAGAACGAATACTAGCTTGCAGACCCAGGTGAGATGGAGAAAGAGCTAATGCAACCCGTTGAACTGACGATATGATGCCACGTACATACTGTCGTGCAATCGAAGCAACGTGATCTTGCATGTGGCTTTCAAATGCAAACTCAAATGCAATTGTCATGACAGATCTTGTAGTGCCACTGGTAACAGCAAGGTCATTTGAAGATCTGTTTCCTGCAGTTCCAATTTCAAGAGCAGATGCGAGGTCCAGGGTGCGGTTTGGACTCGGAGATTCCTATGTAACATTGTAGAATCATATAAATCGGTGTCAGAAAAAGGTTCTACAGTTAGTAATGGAATCAAGATCATTCCAGGTTCAATCAAATGAAACCAGGAATACGTTCGAAAGAGAGAAGGATTAGTTCATGTCTGGGTCAATAATAATCAAATCATTTTTTGGATGCAAATTTGCTTGTCTATAACTTTGTAGTTGTCCATCTAACCATTCTTGAACGTAATTGCAACTGAAGTCTTTAATCGGTAGAACCCTGATTATTTCTCAAGGTATTCACACAATTGATCATCCTGTGTTAAGCCGCACAACTCAATTCTATGCCATCCACTAGTCCATCAACTTCCCTTCAGAAGAAATTTACTTGTCATAATATTCTAGATCTGAACATTTCTACATTTTTGTCACTCACTTTTAGAAATTCCCACTTATTGATGCAACTATACAAAGCAATGAAGGGTCGATCAAGCAAAAAGTTAAAATCATTACTTTGAGATTTGCATTAATTTTTTTATCTACACTATTCTATTCCACCTATTTGATAGATATACGTGTAACAGTCATTCATCAATAGAATTCAGTTCTCTTTTAGTGAAGAGTAAGAAATACAAAATGCAGAGATTGTGCATGAACACTCACCTTGCCAGAATCAAGAGGAATGATGCGGAAACCAGATGGCAGGAGAGGAGCATCATCCGCAAAAGAGGCATCAATAGGGGCAAATATGAGTTCAGCACAGGTGCCAACCGCATTTTCATCTATCCCACTGCACAGCTGCAAAATTGCAAGGAGATGGATACCGAGCGGAAATACTTGAAGGCAATAAGTAGACAACATAACATATAATCAGTGTTTTAAAATGCAAACTCAGGACTCGCTTGAGGAGGGACTGCTCCAGATTGAGACATGGGAAAGTAAGAATCACTATGTGAGGCAAACACCCAGAGTTCTTGGGTGCACTTTTTACACTCTTCTTTGAGCACATGCCCATTAGGTTCTCATGTTCGGAAAGTATGTCGTGACTTTATAAGTCCCAACATAATGTTCTTCACGAATATGATAACTTTTCAACCCAAAGTCAAAATCACTTGCCAGATTTTGCAAAAGAAGAAAAATCCTGAGCAATTTTTATTATCCACAAGACCTATGAAAGAAAGGATGTTCTAGCAAATAGTCACTCTTCCTTCAATATTTGAATTCGTAAATTTTTACCTCGTTACTATTTTCAAACATTGTTGTTCTTGTCTTTTACCATAACTCAGGTTATAAAACACAATTGCTAACCCTTGATTGCACTTTGAACTATTTCTTCAGTTTCCAATATCATGGTGGAAATCCATGTTCTTATTCTTGACAGTTTACCATTCAGTCATTCTTTTCATTTCATTTCAATAATAGCAGCCAGTATAAAATTTTTAGTTTTGGTTACTTAAACTACATTTTTTTTTCCAGCATGTTTCATGCACAATAGAAGACTACAATAAAACATATCTCTGCAGTAATTCTGGTGTTGGATAAGCAAGAGTCAGCCGAAACACTCCAGAACAAAGAGAGTCTACAGATTATCCATCTCAATATCATTTAATCGGAGGGATAAAAAAAATTATATGATATTCATCTCAACTCTTGATGCTGTATCTTTTTACATAGAAGATTGAAAACTTAGTATTCAGAAATAGAATCAAAATCGAACCAGCAAACGAGGAATATCAGAGTGTCTATTCCACGGAAAAGAGTAAACATAAGAAATAAAAGCTCCGTTTTCTAAAAAAAAGCAAAAAAGGATTTCTTACACCCTAAATAGGTTAAAAACTTGTCCGTTTCAGAATAATGTCCTTCCTTAAAATAGAAATATTTCACTTGCATAATAAATCTAGCCAGCTCCACTAACCATTAATTCAACTTTAGCTTTACTTAAATTGTTTAAAGAAAAGCATGAAACAACAACTTAGGCTCCAGCATTTTTTTTATTTTTTTTTTTAATGCTACTTCCTTTTAACCCTCATGCAATTAATCATGCTGAGTGGAAAAAAGAAGCCATTCTATCAGAGCTTAAAAACTGATGACCTCCTCAGTTGAAAATTGGTCACGCCAAATATTTGACTCTTCACATGGAAATAGACTATCAGTGCCCCTGTTTAATATGCTTTATGGAGCAACACACATAATATCGGCATGAATGAACATAAGACATAGATGAGGGAACAATATTTACTTGTAAGAGGAACACATCCCTAGGCAGCATTGCATCTTCAGGAGAATGACCAACACCTTCCAGCTTGATGACCTCCAGCAGCTATTAAGCATAAATAAAATACATAATTTAGATTGAAATGTAAAATACAAAGGCCGGAAATGAATGAGCATCGCAGTCTAAAAACATAAAATTAATATAAAGGAAGATTACGCATTGAATATATAGAAAACAAAATTCAAATTACTTGCCTCTCCATGCTCAATAGTCTGAGCCAGCGGAAGGATAACTTGACCCCCAAAAGAACCAATTTGGGACCCTAAAAAGGTACAAGGACCAACTTTAACAGCAGTGGCCGAGTAAGCATCAACATTGTTGTCTGCCCATTCTGACCTGTGCTCCCTCAAAAATCTGAGTAGTATTGCCGGAGGTACATTCTGAAACCCAAAAAGAGAATGAATGAGAAAATTATAGCACAATATAAAATGTGAACAAATACTTATTATTCACAAATTCAGGAGAACAAAAATGAGAAACCGCAAAATCACATCTATTTCAAGAACAAAAGCAGGTAGCCAGGTACTAGTCACCAGAAATATCAAACTCAGTTCAAATGCTCGTTGCTAGTAAGATTCAGAACATATTTCTAGCTGACAAAGAATGCCTCTGCTATCACTTTTGTCAGTCAAAGATTTACTGATGTTAAGGAGAGGATGCATTGTTAACTTCATATATTCAAACGATTATTAGAGAGATTTCATACATGGAATCCAGGGGTGAAATCAATTTCTTACTACAAAATGGTATGGGAGATTTCAAACCTCCTATCAATTGAAAACCAATTTCACTTGTTTGACATTTTTTTAGCATTAAAGTTAATGCAGATAGTTTACAAATGCTCATTTTCCTTAGTCTGGAAGGAACTTCTTACGTGTAATTGCCACAAGCTTCATGCACTAAAGAACGTCTCACAATTCAAGTCAACATAAACATCCTATCAAGACTGGTATATGCATGGCTGAATTATCAAAATCCTATACAAAATCATATCATTTTCAAATATGCTTGATTGCATAATCTTAAAAATTCATTGCAAACCATGTAGGGCATGCTTGATATGCAAAATTAGACAATATAATGAACAAGAGACTTCTTATTCTTTCATAACACTGCCCAATGCAGTATATTCTACCTTACCAAACAAGCTAATTATGTTAACATATGCTTATTTAACATACTTAATTGCAAACTTTATCATGTTCACATGTTTGGTAATATGTGGCAAGTTTCTTGCATGGTAAACTATTCTCCATCAAACTATAGTGCATCGAGTGGTTGTGACAGGAAGCTCTTAGGATTGATTTAATTCATTGAACTTGTTGAGAAAACTCTCAGGAAGAAATGGAAAGTTTGAATCAACAGGTGAACCAGCAACCAAATTTAGAAATAGCATTATATCAATTCTATATGATGTAGATCCCACGAGTACCAAATTTAAAGACAACATAGCGAAAGAACATGTCAGTATTTAGTATCATAACCATCATTTATATATGGAAAACAACTCAGCAAAAGTAACATGCGGAGCATGCAAACCTGTAAAAGCATAGATGCCTTGGCACACAAGACTGCATTGGAAACGGATGGATATCCATTCGTGAAAGAGAGATTTAAGCCCATTAATTTTTCAGGATTAGAGTTCACAACTATAGTGACATCATCCATGCCATCATTACCCATCAACGACCAACCATCATCGCTGAACCCATTGAGAGCCTCATTAAATCCCCTAACAAAAGGATTATTATAATCAATATCAATTACCTAAAGAATTCACCAAAAGAAGCAGAATACCCTACCTGCTCAACCTGTGGCTAAGTGCTCGTAGAGCTGCAGGTCGTCTGCCCCAGTTGGTTACGCTAGACTGGGAAACATCCTGAGCAATCTGCCTAAGTTGGCGCAGTGCCTGCATTGGGAGGCAGAAGCAAAGCAAGAAGAGACAAAAAAACACCATTACAAATATCAGCCTTATTGTTATCCAAGTCCTGAAAAGTGCCATAAAAATGTAGAACAATATTTGTACCGCAATTGTGGTCTTATGAGCTAGCATTGTTGAAGATTCGTAGAGAGGCCGTAATACCTCGGGAACACTCCATGGCTTGTAAACAAAATGGGAAAGCCCGCATCAAAATGACAGAGTACAGATTGAAGATAAGCATATGCAATCAGATGTTCTAATATATTACAGAAAGTTCATCACTTCCATTTTCTAACCCTCTGTTTATGATTTGTAAAGGCTTTGTAATTTTTTAGATGAGCCATCCAATATGATATTTCCGTCTGTTATTCAAATCGTAATTTCCAAATGCCGTAGGTTTTCAGAACACTTATATGTCATTTTAGTGTCTCCTACAAAATAAATTTGTCAACAACATATTGTTTTAGAAGAACTGGAAAGTTGAAGGAACGGTGATAAGATTGTAAAATGTTAGACAAGGCAGAAACAACTTTACCTCCAAATTCATGTGATCAACGATGTGGATAATTGAACCTCCACCCTCACAAGGTCTAATTAGATAACCGCTAGGCAACATTTCAGCTCTCACAAAGTTCTGCACAGGTGGCATGCTTGGACCATTTTGAGTATTGCTGAGTGATCTTTCACAGACCTAAGTATTCCATTTTAGAACAGAGTAGCTTATGCAATCAATTGATAAAATAGAAAATACTAGAACTTAAAGATCAGACAATCAATATAGAGCATCTTTAGCTAAGCTCAATAAATTAAAACTTTTAAGTAAAAGCAATTTTTTTATTGATCAAAATTGATAATAAACAAGTTGATTTGACATTTAGGTAAGAGTTACTTTCAAGATAAATAACTCTTACGTTACATAAATTTAAGAAAAACTTGGCTCATTTAGCACCTGTTTGACATCATTTACTTTAATTTAATTTATTTCTCATACTCATTTTCAACAACACATTAACACAATAAAATATTCAAAACGTAAATCCAAAACTTTTCCCTACTTTTTTTTTTAACTACACATTTTCCCAAAAAAATAATAATAAATAAAAAATACTAATCAAAACTATGTTCTTAAAATTTTAAGAATGTCAAACAAGGGCTTAAACATGTTTGCATACAAGTACTTTTATTTTTTAAGCTTAACCAAACATGGTCACTGGATATAAATGTTCACATACCACTAGACTGCCATCATCCATAACAGAAGTATAGCGTAACAGCCAAAAGTCACGACCTGGCGCCAAAGTTGTTGGCGCATATAGCTGAATCAACAAAATTTAGTAAGTCCATAATTCAAAAGATAGAAGAAAAAAAGGCCAACCAGCACTTGGCACGATACAACAATAATGAAAATTACCCACCTGCATATATAAAAGTTCAATGGTTCCACCATTGACAGTAGGCAGCACATTGAGAACATCCACAGCCCGGCAATCGCGAAACCATGAAGGACGCTCCTTCAGGATTTCTGCCACCTGAAAGAAACATCAGCAGTTATTTCTTCATATAACTCCAAAGTAGAATTACACAGCATGAAAGAAATAGAAAAAATAGGTGAACTAACCCTTGTTGGCTCTAGACCAACCAGGCCGCAAGCTCTTGCTGCCACACCAGTGCAACCGTGAGAAATAGCAACGATTCCAATGGAATCCGGACCAGGCTACTCCAAATTAACAAAAGCTTCAGTTGATGAAAATTGCAATATCCAGTTCAATTGTAATAAACAATAACAAATCTTCAAATTAACATTCTCTGGGCTAACTGCGTTCCACCACATCCTCAATATTAAGCCCAACCATTTTATTGTAGCACTTATTAATGTTCTTCAATAGCAAAACTTAATAAAACTATGAAACAAATTGATAAACAATAATCATATTACCAAGTAACATGGAGAGGCCTAATAATTACTGCAGCTGGAAAGAATATTTTTTAAATTGCACTTAGTTCAACTAAAAAGAAAAAAGTATTTATTATGGTTTTTCAGTATCCCAACCAAAAATCGGGGAAAATAAGAAAAAGAAAAAGAATTTCATTCTCTGACGAATGATAAGAAAGCATGAAGTATACAAAACCTCTCTACATGTAAAATACACGCACATCGGTGTATGCTTGTATTTTTTATTTACTTATCATAGAAAAACAAATAATAGATTGTCACGGAATTCAATAAACACTGTACCTTCATTCCAGGCATTTGGACCCACTCAACAGCAGTTCCAGTGGCCTTTGAAAGAAACTCCGTTAAAGTCTCTTCTGCAATGGACAAAAGCCTGGAAAATATACAAAAAGCAAACAGAATGTCATAAGCCACGCACAACAAGGCAATGAATCACAGAGCACACAGAATATTTTTATAATTATCTAGATAAATACCCAACAACCATAAACACATTTACTCACCCTGCAGGACTTGCATCCCTTGGCGGATGCTGAGGGGTCAAGCGGTGTTGTTGACCACTTGTCACCACTGATTCACAACTTGTGTCTTTAGTAGCAAGTGCATTCTGCAGTAGGACAAAGAACAAAACATGTTAATTTTCTTTAAAACTCTATTAATTTCACTTAAGACGTGTTTGGTACATATTACTTGTTAAACCTCGACATGACAAGATTTAAATATCTTTTCTTTCTCAATACCATACAGTCGAGTTCATCTTACCAGGCATGCTGTCAACATTTAAATTTACCATGCTAAGATTGCATAAGTGAAGAATTACCAAGGGGGAGTTTTAGGGCTCTTACATTCTGAGTATGCTGGCGAAAGTAACCGTTTTCATAAACCAATTGTGACACCTGCTTCTGTAATCTATCATTCTCTTCCATTAGGAGTTTGTTCATAGCCGTCAGCTTCCTATTCACTGATTGAAGCCTAGATGACTCTTTCCTCTGTTTTTCTCTGCATCTGCATTTCCACAAAATTCAAAATTCAGTCCTTATAACCCAACATAAATTCTCCAAATCACTCCATTTTTAGTAACAAAGTACATAAAATGAAATTAAAGAGAGTATATCCCATTTGTTGATATATATATCGCAACTCATTAATTCTTCTCTCGATCAATTAACTGAAGTAAAAACAAGAATTCAGAAAAAGAATTAAGTCAAACAGAATGTACCTACGATTCTGGAACCAGACTTTGATTTGCTTAGGCTCAATGTGGGAGAGAATAGGACACTCGCGAATGAGCTGCTGGCGGCGAATGGAGCTGGGCTTAGGACACTCATGATAGAGCCTCTCCAGTGCTTCAACCTGCTCTGGCGTGTATCGAACATATTTGCCATTGTCCATAGCTGCAGCTGCAGCTGCCGCCTTGTTAGCATCCTTGCAAGACATTGCCATCTCCCAAAATTATATTATCAATATACAATCAACTAATTGATCACAAGAAACCCCCAATTTGCCTTCTCTTTACTTCACAGCAGTTCAAGCACTTGAAGCTATTCCGTAAAAACCCATCACTAGTTTTTCTCAATCCAAGAGCAGACTATCAATTTCGAGGCTTCCAGAAAAACCCAGAAATTTTTGCAGTTATTGACTATTATGAACACAAAAACAAAAAAGCAAGAATGTTTGAAATTCTGAATCTTATGGGGGTTTTTAGTATTTTGGAATTAATTGATCACGAAAAACAACAAGTTTGGATGTGTGATGGAAAACAGATTGCTGAAATTGAACGGCCGTATTCTCATCACCAAACACAAGAACACAAAGCTCCAAAAATCACCACCAGAAAACAAGAAGATTTCCTCAAACCACCCAAATAAGCAATTTCTCTCACATCTGTTGTTGGATCCATGCATCACTCCAATCCCACAAGTTTTCCTTCATAATAAACAAAATTAATAAATCACAAACAAAATACTTCAAATCAAAACTCACAAAAACAAAATAAAAAATAAAAAACCTTCTTCAATCCATGAATTTTCATCTTGGGTTTCACATATGATACGGTGCAGCATATACTAGTACATACATGTATGTATGGATCTGGAATTAATGATATAGAAGAGTTGGTAAAGATGATTGAAGGAAAGGGCAAAAGGAGAGTGCGTGTTGGTGGCTTTATTTGTTTGGATTGGTTTCGTTCTTGTCAGTTTGCTACTGTATTTTTCATCAGTTTGGTGCTTTCACTGCGTAGGTATTAGGATATCCCTTCCCATTCACACTGTCACTGTATCTCGATTTGGAATATTTTTTGAATGGACTGTAATGCATGGGGCCAAGTGAACAAATTACCCAGAAAAAGTTTGTCAAAGTTGCAAACTTACCATCTTGAATACAATACTCGATCAAGTATTCTGTCAAGCTTGCTATCTGATTCATTTTATTTTTTTTAATGGAATTTAGGCCCCGTTTTGCGTAATTTTTCACCCTCAAAAAATTGATTTTTTGACCATTATTTCACAATTTTAACAATAATTTTTGACTTCTTCTCTCACGGTGGCCCCTATATTTTTTCCTAATGGTCAAAAAATTAATTTTTAAAATCACTACCGAACAAGCCCTTAAACTTTATCGCCACCCTCAAGGGAAAAAAATGTGTACGATTCAAAGATTTGATACAAGCGCTAGCTTGGGGCACATTTTGCATCAAATTTTTAACCAAATTCATGCCATTATACACGGTGTGTTAGTTAATGATGACACTGTTATTTTTGACCGAATTAAGAACCTATTGAGGCTCTATAATCTTAATATACATTTTTTTCTTTATTATTTTCAATCGTACATTATTTAATAAAATAATATTATACGTAAACTTAAAAGTTTAATTATTTTCTAATCACTCATTCTCCAAAAAATACTATTCCAAAACTCTTTTTTTTTTTTTCTTTAATCCGAAATGGGACTTGAACAAAGGCTAAGCAAAATTACCAATTGGCCCCTTCACATAAAATTCATTCTTCTTTACAAAATGGAAAATCCGATAATTTGCTTCATGTGCAATTAGATTACAACACAATTGGATCCCACTAAAAGGATTAATTGTATTGATGCTAGTTTACTTATAAAATTTAAATCTTGTCACCGTTTCAAAAAAAAAATATTATAATTTTTTAAATTTTGATTAAGAAAAAGGTTAATTATAATTATGAAATATTTCATCGTGCTCCTTTACCGGCGACATCGATTCATTTTATTGAATTCAAATCTTATCGTCACCTGTTCACAAATTTCTTTTGTAGTTTTTAAAATTTTAATTGAGAAAATAGTAAATTTTACAATAAAATATTTTGTCATGCTCCTTTACATGTGACCTGATTCGTTTGTTCGAATTTAAACCTTGTAGCAACTACAACTTGTTCACAAAAACAATTGTGTACTTCTCCAAAATTTGTTTGAGAATATTTAATTGTATTAATGTAATACTCTTTCAAACATCATCCTCCTTTACCTGTGTCCTTTCCAAAAAATTCTGGTAATGATTTTGAGAATTAATTTTTTAACTGTTAGGAAAAAAGTGGGGGCACCTGTGAGAGAAGAAATTAAACATTACGGCTGAAATAATGAAATAACGATAAAAAAATCAATTTTTAGGTTGAAAATCACTCCCAAACGGGACCTTATTTGTGGACTCTTCAAAAATTGATTAAGAGAATGATTAATTGTACTTCGAAATATCAAGTATTTTGTCATGCTTCTTCTTACCTACAATCTGATTCATTTCATTGAATTTATGTCGTTGTTATCATCCTTTAACAAATTAAATTATTTGTTACAGTAACTTTTTTCACCATACATTCACACAATAAAATATTCTATACACATACCAATAAAGTTTCTTTATATTTTAACCACACATTCTCCAAAAAAATATTATTCAAAATTCTTTAATTTATCTCATAATGGAAGACAAACATGTTCTAAACCTTGTTGTCACTTATTCACAGAAAAGTTGTGTACTTTTCATAATTTTGATTAAGGAAAATATTGAAATTAATGGTCAACTAAGCATTTTCTATTTTGTATATGTATGATGGCCAAAATCCAAGGCAAGTGAGTTACTTACAATTAAATTGAAGTGGCCTAATGTTGCACATTTTAATTCAATAACCTAGTTACAATTGGAATTAAAGTTATGTTCTCAGTATAATTATAATTAACCATTAAAAAAATTAAGACGGTATACTCACAAGGTTTTAACAAGTAGACATGGTTCATCTCTAATTTATTTAACTTTTACGTAAGAAGGAGAACGATAATTATATCGTGCTCAAAATTTTTAATTTTTCCCATATTTATTTGAATAGAAAGAGCTCAATTGCCTTTCTAAGGAAAAAAGAAGAAAAAAAATCATTAATTTAAAAATAATAATAATAAAAAAGTGGGGATGGCAAGACTAAAGACTCGAAATGGGAAACAAGAGTGAGTGGCAAGATTGTAAAACAGTGGAAGCGTGGAGGGAAGATAGTGGGGAGAAAAAAGAGAAGGCATGGGGAAGATTTGCGTGGGACACAGAGGACACTATGATTATGGCTTTTGCATGCGCCTTCCTCGATTCCCTTTTTCCCCTCGATTTTGAAATATTAAACTTTTCTCATCCCCTTTTCACATTTTACATTAAACCCCTGTTTGATTCCCATCACCTGAAAATGAAAATGGGGGAAATAGTATTTTTTAGAAAAATGAGTGATTAAAAAAAAAGGAAAAATTTTCGATTTACGTGTAATATTATTTTATGAAAAATTGTGTGGTTGAAAATAGGAAAGCGAAAAATGGAATGTAATGTGATTTAATTTAATGGATATCAAACAGGGGCTAAGCCCTGTTTGGTTTCTATTATTTTCTCATTAAAATAAAAAAATATAATTTTTATCCATCACATCAAACTACCAATTTTGAATTTCTATCTCTTGTATGGGACTTGTAACGACTATATTTTTCATTTTCATTCTTTTAAAAATGAAAAATAAACGGGAGCTAAGTCCATATTTTATTTATAAAAATTTTTGTCACGTGGATCCATTACTTTTTTCCTACATTTAAGTACACGTTCTTTATAAAAATCAATTTTTACAAAATTTATTATCAAAAAATTTACATTGAATAAGACATAACTAGAAGTATCACAAAGGGTTAGAGTGAGTTGATAATGCACTCATTTTTTGCACGAGTCGACACAATTCACCTAAATACACGAGCTGCTCGAGCTAGCATAATTGTTCAAAATTTATGGACTATTCGAGGTTCTGTAAAGATAGATCGAATTAAATCGTTTGACACCTATTATTAATTTTAGTAAAAAAAAAAAAAAGTAATACAATTTTATCTTCAATTCAGAATGAGCTTTTTGAATATTTTTTAATCGTTCAGCTGAATTATT